CTTTGGAATGTAAAAGAATGTCGTATCCCAATATGTAATCATATTTATTCAAGAAGCCTTTTGTATATATTTTAATCATTCTACCTAACTTCCTGAATTGCTTAAATGCTGTGGAGACCTTGTCAGTTCTAACTTGGAAGCTTTAAGCTATGAATAAACAAAAAGCATGATTCTCAACATTTTCTTGACTCAACCAGATTCGAAAGAGAAGTGCCAAGTAATTCGAATTTTTAATGTTAGTTTTCTTAAAGTGAACATTTTCAAGCATTCCAGAGGAACCATGAAATATCCCTTAATTTTCAGTGACTGTAACATTACTCTGAACTCAAATATGACTCTGTAACAATCCAACCCCAAGTTATAGTAGAAATGTGTCTTCTGACTTAGTCTAGAAAAAAATCCCACATTTTCTCTAGTTAAATGGATTACATCTAGAAAATCTTTTATTGCTTAATTTTGAATGATTTGTTTCATAATTAAACATCTTCACCATGTGATTCTGTGCCTGATTGTTTAATCGGATATTCATACAGACAACCCACTGAAAGTCAAAGATTGTAAGTAGTTTCTCTTAAATATTTACTTTACTAACATTTTATTATGTTAAAAGTACAAATATAGGATGTTACTTAAAAATCTATTCAATCATCAAAGTCTCCATTGAGAATCTGTGCAATAAATGGTAATTGTTTATTAATTCTGGGATTTATCAAGAAAGTTACCAAGAAATTGTCCAACTAACTAGACCCCCTGTCCTCAAGAAACTTAGATTTAATGTGAACATCCTTCTAAAAGGAGAGAACTGGAAGAAAAATAAAAAGAAATGTAAGTTTGATGATGGAATTCTACACATTTCTTTTCCTTTCTGCAAAGACCTGGGCATAGAGAAGAGTGCCCAGTAAATCTTGTAAAGAATGCTTTAGGGAGATTTGACATAGGTTTTTGTTGGTTGGTTGGCTGGTTCTTTGGTTGGCTTAAAATGACTTTTATCAAATGTGTATATATATTAATTTCTAATTACTAATTTAATTTCTAATTAAATCATGATATCAAGAATTTACTTTCATGTACTAAGCATCTTCTTTACATCCCATCAGGCCTGATTTATTAGTCTCTCATATTTTGTATTTCTAGAAGTTCTCTAACTGCAAATATTTGACTACCAGAGGTGATGGACCATATTTAATAATGAATTTCTTTCACATAGCAATGTAATCGATGGCAGCAGAATTACAGTTGAGCCTTAGAAGGGAACTAAGTAAGGCAAATCCCTGAAGCTTTAACTTCAATTGTTACAGAAATAGAATTTAGTACTCATACTGTAATTGATTCAATACATCATAAACATTGAAAACAAGAAGTTAAAGACTGTGTATGGTAGCAGTGCTCTGATACCATTTTAAACTCTCTGGATATTTTATAACATTAACTCATAACAACAGCAAGTTTCTAGGCACTGTTGCATCAGTAGTATATCACCACCACAGCCACTAACACAGCATCCCATATACATCCCCAATAGCCAATCTAAGATAAATTCTGTCCTTGAAAACTAGTGATTCTGTGTTCCATACACCTTGTCCTAGACTTTCACCTGTGGATTTCTCTCCCCAGTAGACCTCTCTCCATTTACTGGCCAGAAAAAATAACATACCTTCTCAAATCCCCTATCTTAATCATTCTCCATTCACTTGGTCTTTAGATTTGGTGGATTTCACCTTGTGACTATCCTTAGAATGTGCATCCCTTGCTCTCCACAATGCAATGCCTCATGTGCAATGCCTCTATTATATGTTATATTGCAATCAGCCAAGTACCAAGTCTACCTTGCTGCAAGGAAAGCCCTTTTGTAACAGAAATCTCATCCTATCACTTGTTAGACTGAAAGACTCAATATCTATAGAATAGCATCCTTGGCATGTCTCATAAAGCATCCCATAATCCAGATCTAGTCTTTGTTTCCTAGCTAGATCTTCTCTCACTACTTATGCACCAGTTGTGTCAAACTCATTCCCTTCTCTTGTTGGTGAAGTTGTGGTGTTTCCTCCTCTGGCCCTACACAGCTATGTATGTGCCAAGAAAAGGCCAACTTATTTTCTAAGATTAAGTTGAAATCTTAGATATAGGAAACGTCCCTTACCTTTCTGATTTCCACTAATATTCAATATATTATAGTTATATTAAAGAATAGAAAATGTTATTTGAAAAAGAAGTTCAGAATATAAAATAAAGTTATTTTATTAGAATGTTTCCTTTTTCAAAAATAAAAGAGAAGGAAGAAGCATAATAAAAGTAAAATTCTATTTTTCTGTTTTAGAATCAAGAGTTTATGACTGAAAGAGTTATTACGGTCAATCCAGACCAAAGTTTTCTGTGGTTTCCATATAAAAAGTAAAAGCTCTTGCCTTAAGATGATGTTTGGGAAATTTGTATCTAGTTGTGTAATACTGACTATAATTTGAGTGATCCTTATACAGAGCACAACAAAGCAGTTGTTAATTCTCAACCATGAGAATATAAAATCATAGACACTAAACTTGATTGTCTCAATTTCTCTCACCACTTGTAGCTGCCACTCACCTTTTTTTTTTTGAGGAGCTAGTTTGCCATCATTTGCATTGAAAATTCATTACCTGATTTTTTTTAATTAACTGACTAACACAGATATTCACTGGGAAGCTGGACAACCGGGTCTTCTTCAACTTTTCGAAAATTCATGTTTTTAAAACCTTTTCCTATGAAGATGAACTATGCAAAAGGCAAACAGAGTTGTTCTATCCCACATTGACTTGCTTTGTTTCACCAGTACAAGTTTTAGAGAAAATTGAGCATGGCATTCCAGCACGTGTCATAATTTCAGAGAAAAATGCTGTCAATCATGACTGCTCCAAAAGAGACATCTCTTTTGGAGAAGTTTGAAAACTTCCAAAAAAAGTAATTTTTTTCAATGGCTTTCAATTCCTTACCTTAAGGAATGTCAGTATTTGAAGCTGTAAGTACATGTCGTGTTTTTATTAACAACTGATAATTAACAAAGGTTTTAGGGTAATAAAATTTCCAATTGTGTATTTTCTACTACTGCCTATATTTCAGTGTCAAAGGCACCCCTGCATGAGCAAATCCCACCCATCTTCATGGAACTCTAAGTCACATAGTGCCTTGAACTTAGAAGCAATTTTATTTCAAATGAAGCGCATGTTTCCATTTAAAAAATTCTCATGGATAAGTGCTACTGGTTTTTACCTACATATCTAACTTCTTCAAATGGATACTGATTGATTCTCAGTCTATAAATTTCTATTGCCTTTGCCTTTTGGAGGGTGTTACCCTGCTTAAAATATGCACACATTTTCTGTAAGTCTCCAATGTGGAGTTCCTGGCATGAAAAATGACCCTGTTACTTGGAAGGCCGTTTTCACTTACAAGTCTCCCAGGTCCCATAATGTCTAAACCTCCTGTGCCACTTTATAGGACGGGCCGTCCCACAAAAGAGCATGTACAGGAAAAGCAGACTTCCCTTCCCCCACGCGCTTCCTCAGTTTATTTACAAAATGTCTTGGAATGAGAATGAGCTGCTTGTGGTTCCTGTGGTTGACTCAGAGATGGTCTCCTCCAGGCAGAGGATGATGGTCAACTGAGTGACCTCTCTGCAGCTAAACCATGCAACCCTCTAGTAAAGCTCTATAGTGTTTGGGGTACTTTCCAACAGAGATGGCGGGGGGAAGATTTTGTGTTTTTCAAAGAACTTAATAACCCAACATACCCATAGAGATAATAGCAGCACACAGATAATGGAAGGTGTATGAGAGATTTCACCTTTCACCACCTAAAAGACAGCAGTTATATTTTGGGATGCTTTCAGATTCCTGTGCATCAACCTCTGGTCCTCAAAGGAGCATTATTGTTCTTTATATGCCTCCTGAAAGGTTGGCATTATGTGTCACTAGAGAACACATTTAGGAGTGGAAATCATCCCCAACACCAGCTACAGGACAGATGCCTCTTCATTAGCAGATTCTGTGCAATCGTCCATAGTTAATGGTCCTAGAAGGTTAAGTGGGGGGAAAACCTCAATCTCAAAAAACACAAGTCTCTCAAATGTTTGGTTACATTGTCTATACTTACTAGTGAACACATACCTCATGCATTGCTGACCCTTGTAAAGCTAAGAATGTAAGTAGCAAAGATCCTCAGGTAAGACAAGTACATACTCACCAAATATGCTTTTCACTTGACTATGTGGGAAATGAGAGCAGAGAAATGATGAGATTTATTTCCAAAAAGATAGAATACTGAACATAAACAACCACACACTCACATCTGATTCATTATTGGTCAGATCTATATATCACATTTTCACCTTTATATCAAATTGAATGGACTATTATTAAACCCACATGAGAAGAAATATTTCTAGGATGTATTGAAGTGTAGTAAATAGCTAGTACAGTTTCACAGTCAATAGAATCAAAGAGCAAAATCGTCTTTTTAGTAGGCCATAGTGGAAAATACATATTCTGGATCTTAGTGGCCTTGCTCAGGTTAAGCCCTAGTTTGTACTTAAGCCCTAGTTTGCTGAAGAAACTAGAGGCATCCTTTCTATCTGCTACACAAATGAAAAACCTACTACACATAAGTGAAATGTATCCATTTCAATGTACAAATGAGCACAAACTGTCAACCCTTTATTTCCCAGGGTGCTGGGTTAATAAGAATAATTTATATATATTTTCTATAAATGATTTGAGCCAAACATGTTCTCAGTTTTTAAATACACACATTTTATTAATTTTGAGAGTACAGGCACTATATGTATAAGAGACAGCCAAGCTCACAAAAAAGGAAGAAAAACAAAGTCACACCTTATCCACTTAGAACCCCAAATTCATAAGTTAATGAAAGAAGTGTATGCATTGTCCTCAAATGCTATTTAACATCTGTCTGCCTGTATGTACATACGGTTAACCTTTGTGCTTTGTATTTCTGCATTTGTTCTTCAGTGCATCCTAGCGCCAGCCAGGGCTGCCAAGGAGGCTGTGCAACCTGTTCAGATTACAATGGATGTTTGTCATGTAAGCCCAGACTATTTTTTGTTCTGGAAAGAATTGGCATGAAGCAGATAGGAGTGTGTCTCTCTTCATGTCCAAGTGGATATTATGGAACTCGATATCCAGATATAAATAAGTGTACAAGTAAGTGCCTACACAACATTATATTTTTATCTCATCTTTGGGGACTTTACTAGATTGAAATGGCCTCTGATATCTGGGATAGTGAATGTTAACTAAATAAAAGTGCTTACTTCATATTTAGGCGAACCTCTGTGTACACATACTCAGCCTTCAGGATAGAAAAAAATCACCACGAACTTTCAAAACAGATTCATGTTTTCTTCGACTTCCCAGCTAAGGCTGGGAAGATGATTATTACTCATTGAGCCTATAGAAAAACACTATATGTATCTATACTATCAGAGTTTTAAATACCATCAAAAAATTCAAGTATTTAACTTGGAACATCAACGTAGCTAATTTGGGCTCCTGAAAGATTCCATTATAGCTAAAGACGTTTCTTTTATCATTTGAAAGCAAATTCGGGTAGCACCTCGATGGAATTCAAAAGGTCGGCTCTCCACACGGAAGACCACCTGACTTTTCAAAACGTAAATTCAAAAGTATTCCTATATCCAAACATGACATGTAGCTCTATCTCTCATAGCCTAAAACTATCTAACCATGAGCTACAACTCTGGCTCCCCCATGTTGCACCAGCCTTACTGCCCTTCTTAGCTCTGCCCATCAAACCCTTCAATAATTGTTCTACCCTGGCCCTTCTGGCATTGTTGAAGTTGTTTGTGCACACCTTTGCCCGGCTAGCTCTCTTTATTTCATTCTTTTATATTACCTTCTCAAAGATGGCACTCTGACAATCTTACACAAATAACCATTACCTATCCCCTTTATCAGTCAATTTCCCCGTTTCTTTTCCTGCCTTTTTCTTTTATTATTAGTGTTGCTGTTGTTGTTTTCCAGAGCACCTATCACTAAAACAAAACTGGCTTATTTAAAACAAACAAACAAACAAAACAATCTTCTCTATGGTTCTTGGCTAGTTACGTAAACTTTTGGAAATCCATTTACCTTATGTGTAAAATGGAAATTGTAACAGAGACCACGTCATTGGATTATGGTAAAGTTTAAATGACTCAATATTGTAAAACCCTTGTCATTATTTTTAGTTTACACTAATCACCTGGTAAGAGTCAACTATTGTTTTCATGTACTACTTATTTTCCTACAATGCAACTCCTGTGGAAAGCGGTTCCTTCTTTGCTTGTATTCTCCTTTCCATCAGTATCTAGAATAATGCTCCACCTAGAGTGGATAATGAAATATGCTTTGGTTTTGAAAAGAGTCCTCAAGAATAATGCAAAAGCAATGTCTAAAGTTATATAGAAACATGTTCATTCTCACTTTATACCAATCAATACTTCATTTTATAGTCATTGTCTTTGTATATATACATGCAGACTACATGTACACACAAATAATATATATAATGTATTATACAGGTTGACTATTCCTTATCTAAAATGCCAGAGACTAGAAACATTGCAATATTGGCATAAAATTTCCTGGTAGCATCTCCATCCCTAAGCTGAAGATTCAAAATGTGAACCTTCTTGAGCACAATTGTGTGCTCTGAATGTTTCAGATTCTATACCCAAACAGCAAAATTGATTCAGCAACTGGTTTAAAGATTTTGAAATCAACAACTGCTATAAATCCACTTCATGGCCGAGAAACCCTTAATGTAGTTTAGCAAAATAACTTTTAGTCCCAAGTGTTTGTTTTATATGGTTAACCATAATTTAGAGAGGATCATGAAAACATGTTTCACTTATATTTTTCAGAATGCAAAGCTGACTGTGATACCTGTTTCAACAAAAATTTCTGCACAAAGTGTAAAAGTGGATTTTACTTACATCTTGGAAAGTGCCTTGACAATTGCCCCGAAGGGTTGGAAGCTAACAACCACACCATGGAGTGCGTCAGTATTGGTGAGCAAGAACTCTTAGATTTAGACTAGATGAGAAACAACTCAGAGGATTTTGTCAGTCTCCATGAAGGTGCTTCTCGAAGTCTAATTTACAAGGATCTGAGAAACCTGCTATAAGAGGCTCTCTCATCTTCTATAAACATACAAGCATAAAAGCATCCCTAGAGCCTTAGCACGAGTCAGAGTGTAACTTACCATTATTTCTTAGTGACAGATGACAATTTTTCAAACTATTCTGATCAGTATAGAAATTTATCTTGTACCAACAATAGGAAGCAGCCTTAGGACAAAAACTACCTAGGCTTAATCTCAACCAATAACCAAAGTTATTTTCCAAGGAGGAGACATTTTCTCTTGATATGCTCTGTACTGGTTTTCTTTGCATAGATACTTGGAAACAAGAAAGAGAGGATTTGGGGCTCACTCAAACTGACAGAAGACACAGTGCTAGGGTTTGATTAATTGCAGGCTGGGTTTCCTGGAGGGGAGGTCTCTCAGACAAGTTGTTTGTCTAAATAACAGATCACTGTCAGGCTATGTTTTCCCTCTTTTAAAGGTTGTGCAGCTACTAGAGCTATGAGTTTGATGAACACTTGGGGAGCAGATGCTAAACCAAATGGGAAAACAGCATAGGCAAGCTCAAAATCCCTTGGGCAATAACTGCAGGAGCCTTTGAAGCTGTCCTGATGTCGGCATGTGTGCACAAAAACCCTCCTGATTCAGTACAAGATAGTCTCCAGGACCGCCCCAGGGTTCCCTCAGTACAGCTCCACCAGGACCTAAAGGCTGGTGTAATGACTATGAGGTGGTGGCTTGACTATTTCAAACCTACCTCAACCTTTGATTTCTGAACAATGGTTTTGATAGACTGAAAAAAATTTAGCTGATATTTCAAGGCTAATCTCAGAAGCATTTGGGGAAAAATACTGAATCAGTTCATGGCTCTTTTTGGAAAAAGTCTTTTATCTAGTCAATAAAAACAGAAAAACAACTTGGGAAAGGGTGAAAGGTACACGAGAAAGCACTTCAAGTTCATCGTTTTTATATGTCCCGAGGGCTGATGATTAGACATATTAAGTTCCAAATAGTGGAAAAATAGGAAACACTTTGTTAAATATTCCAGGACAGAAATTCAGTTTTTTTTATTACCAAAGGATTATGGTGTTTCTTAATTCAAGAAAAAGTATTTAAACTTTGTTAGTTGTTGCAGGTATATTATTCACTCTTAAGAAGCTATTTGTGTGAAACTTATTAGTGTTCTTTTGAAAGAGAGACCCTCATACAGTTGCCATTTTTGGATTAGCCTTTAAAACCATTTATCAGTAAAACTACACAAATTTAATCAGTTTCAATATTTTAAAGTAGACACTAGCTGTGCAAAGGTTATTGGATATCTTTGGTTCATTTTGCAGGTACAAACTAGATGGACACAGTAGTAGTGTAAATCAGAATCTTTCTTTAGGACTGGCTCTTGCTGCTTACTCCAAAATGCTATCTCCCACAAGGTGGTATCTATCCTAAAAGCGTAACACATATAGGTTTGGCCCAAATTTTCAGGGAAAACTATGACCTGCTCTCTTACACAAAGACTTTCAGCTTGTTCTTTAAGAAGTGGGGAAACTAGCTGGGCGCTGGTGGCTCACACCTATAATCCTAGCTTTTCAGGAGGCTGAGAACTGAGGATCATGGTTCAAAGCCAGCCCCGGCAGAAAAGTCTGTGAGACTCTGCTCTCCAATAAACCACTAGAAAACCGGAAGTGGCGCTGTGGCGCTCACCTTGAGCTGAAGAGCACAGGGACAGAGCCCAGGCCCAGAGTTCAAGCTACACGACCGACAAAAAAAAAAAAAAAAAAGAAAGAAAAGAAAAAAAAAAAAAAAGAAAGAAAGAAAGAAAGGAAGGAAGAAAGAAAGAAGTAGGAAAACTAAGACCTGCAAAAGTAAAATGTTGACTTTTGACCCCACAGACATACTGTACTTTTGTGCTATGATTAGTTCCTGTGCTTGGCTCTTCATTGGTCACCCAACACAACCTGTTAACCTTTGTTATGATCTACACCATTGTATCATTTTAACTTGAATGTACTGATCACTAGCAGGGAAGATATTGCTCTGATATAGAGCCGGCATGAAAGATGTATATCACAAACTATCTCTCCATGCTTTTCAGGTCAAATTGAATGTAAGCATCCTCTGGACCCAACTGGATTCAATCTTTCCATTGTGTGCTTCAGATATTTGCTTCCTCTTGCATGAGGAGACATCCCAATGCCAATACCCAATAGCAGCTAATACATTCTTGCAATCTTATCTATGGACCCATGCAGCTAGTAAAAAAGAATTAGAACAAAAGAATAAAGGCATGGGTAGGCCATTATTGGTAGGATTTCCAGTTCAATTTTCTTCCAAATCCACTTTACTCTGTCTCAGACTGATGATCAAATCCAGCATAGCCATCTCTAGGGTCTGGGAGCTCACGCTTACTTCACTGGTGAGTACTTAAAGATTGCCAGTGTGAAAATTGTTCTTCATAAACGAGAGAGGAGAAATCCAGAGAAAACAATTCTTTTTCTTACTTATCTCTTAACTAATTAGTAATTTAGTTACATTGTTCATATAGTTACCTACCTAAGTTTAATTTAAATCACTCCATACTCACCTTTAGCATTTTTCCAGTCTTCTATTTTCCGGTAACATTATGTGGATACTAATATGGTAAGTTTATTCTACAGTATTTCTGTAGAACTATTTTGTCCTCATGGCTATGAGCTATCTACCTGGTACTAACAAAACATTTTGGCATTGGATTAATACCTGGCAAAGTAGAAGTTCATGATTTTAAGGCTTTCTTTTCCATTTGCTTTCTTGGAGACTTTTTATTTCTATATGTTAAAGATTCATTAATATCAATCATTAATTTTGAGATGAGATGGACATAACCTGGAAATGACTGTATCAAGTGACATGGTTGTCCTACACTTTAACCAAAATTGCAATGGCAGAACTAAGCACAAGACTGTTTTGTGTTTGACTAAATCTCAATTAAGTCATAGAAACAAATTCACTTATCTAATCAGTTTTATCAAACTTTGAGTTTCATCAAGGGTACCTTAAAGAAAGTAGGAAAGCCTGTGGAAAATATATCATGAAAGGCCTTAAATTTCTAAAACATTTAGGTTATTTTTCTCAAGTTTATTATCAGACATGCTGCTCTAACATAATGATTCATCAAATCAGAAGACAGTAAGAGATGATATGAGGACTGAGGGTCTTGTGTCATTCTAAAGAGTTGTTGTTGGAAGCTGTTTCCATTGTTGTAAGGAAGCAACTTTTGTGGTCATAAATAAAAGAACAGCACTTTTCATCTGGATGGGGGAGTTAAGCCTCTTCTCACAGCAGTGGGAAGCTAGGCAGGAAGATTAAGTGAGAACACACTGGGCTACATAGTAGTAGACAACTTCAAAATCAGAAAGAATAGACGTTATTATATTTCTTCTAATCAGAAGTATAGAACTCTGCTATAAAACTTAAGCTATTGTGCTGGGAAGGTGGCTCAGTGGTAGAGCGCTTGCCTTGCATACATGAGGCCCTGGGTTCGATTCCTCAGCACCACATAAGCAAAAAGAAAAAAGCTGGAAGTGGCGCTGTGGCTCAAGTGGTAGAGCGCTAGCCTTGAGCTGAAGAGCTGAGGGACAGCGCCCAGGCCCAGAGTTCAGGCCCCACAACCGGACCTCCCCACCCCCGCCAAAAAAAACTTAAGCTGTTATTGAAGGGATGACTGTATACCAAAAAAGTGAAACAACAAACCTGCAAAAACAAATCTTCAAAAGGGTCTTATCAGTTCCCTTTAGGGATCATTCAAGTTAACTCTAGAAACAGCTTCTTATCTGAAATGGACCTGAAATTTACCTTAATTAGTTGGTCCTGTGTAAGTATCAAGTAGAAGAAGAAATAGGAAATCGGAAACAATAGCAAGTGTGGGCCACAAAACTTGCATTTGCTTTCCACTCAACCATATTCTAACACAGAGGTTCTCAAAAGATGTTCCCAGTATCAACAAATCACCATTATCTGCATTATTAGGATGGCAAATTGACAGGTACACCACAGACGACTAGATCAGAAACTTTAGGGATATGATTCAATGTTTTGCCTAAAAAATATTTTTAGCACTTTTGATGCATGCTCAAGTTTGAGAAGGTGAAGTTTGAGAAACCATTTTCTAACAAACAATCACATTTCTCAAGCTCTGGTAAAGATCACTCAATAATTATAACAGTGCTCTAGAAATTGTAAAGCACTGATCAATTGTGAGTAACTATATAATATAGTATCTTGGTTAATGAAACCTAGAACAAAAAGTACAGGAAATAGCAAACTCAATGTAAGAATGAATTTGCCTGATATGAGCACCAAAAAAGCCTGAAAATATTTAATCTCTGCCTCTTGCATTCTCTTTGTTTTTCATTTAAGACATCTTCTACAGGATTTTAACCTCAGGATTTGGGCAAGTGTTGCTGAAAGCTAACCTTTCCTGATTTAACAATCTGGTAGTGATTGCAAATCAACTAAGGCTGTTTCTGTTCTCTTGTTTTAGTGCACTGTGAGGCCAGTGAATGGAGTCCTTGGAGTCAATGCACAAAAAAAGGAAAAACGTGTGGCTTCAAAAGAGGGACTGAAACACGGGTTCGAGAAATAATCCAGCATCCTTCAGCAAAGGGTAACCTGTGTCCTCCTACAAGTGAGACAAGAAAGTGTACAGTGCAAAGAAAGAAGTGTCAGAAGGGAGAACGAGGTATGATCGGTTAACAAGATCTGCTTGCTGAGCTTCTCATAATTAGATGTCTATTTCATCTTAAGGCAATATCACTCATGTCTAAAACTCCAAAATATGTAGCAAAGAATATATTGTCTCTGAATTACAGTTTTATAGATGTAATAACTTTTTGAAATGGTATTTCCTATCGGTACTAGATGCCATGATAAGAGTATGGCAATTGAATGATAATGAACAAAGCTGGGCTACAAGCCTTGGGCTGTTATCTGTGCTATGATCCATCACCTTTCTAGTGCCAAGGAAACTTTTGGGAGGTCTCATAAACATAAGGTCTAATATAGCCTGGTATAAAACCATGACAACAAAACATCACCATCAACTTAGTCCTTCTACGATGCCTATGATTCAACATAGTACAATTAGGTTAAAAGCTTTTGTAGCTAAACATTTACTTTACTATTGGCTTCATATTTGAACTGATTACTAAGGCCTTATTTTATGAATATGACACAATAAATAATGACGCTCTCTTCCCAGGTTTTATTTTAAATTATACTAACTCTAAATTTATACTATATTATAAAACCTATTCGATCTTAACTGTGTCAAGACTTATTCTGAAATCCTATGAGAACCAAGAGTAAATATACCATTTAATGTGATGCTTGAGGATCATATACTTTCATTTAGAAGAACTACAGTTGGTGACCTCTAAAACATCATTTCCTGTCTTTCTCATTTATTGTTTTCAGCACTACTGCCCACGAGTATGTTTGATAGCTTTAAATCACTTTTGATAGTTATCTGGTGAGCCTCTAAATGATGTTCTCAACTAATTAATTACCTTTTTAAATGAGTCATCTACCAATAGTTATTTAATTCTCTCACTTTATTTTTTTTATGGTGAGAATACCGTACAGAGGAGTTACAATTACATGGGCAAGATAACGAGTACATTTCTTATCAAGCATTGTTGCCTCCTCTTTGCTTCCCCTTCCCATCCCTTCCCATCCTCCCCCCACCTCCCCTCACCTGATCCTCACCCCCACCACCAAAGTTGTAAAGTTCATTTTTCGACATAACGACTTGTACATCTCATTGCTGCAGTGGGCCCACCTGTATCCCTAGTTAAACGATCTGTTTTTGTCCTTCCCCTCCACAAATTATACCAACATCAAACACAGTGAAAGCAGGGGTTAAACCATGAGGGAGGGACATACAAAGCAACAAAGAAATAATCTTATAAATATGTTAGAAACAATCGCAAGAAAGAAAAACATTTGAATACTTATCATGGGGTTCATTTCATCTAACTTCAACTTATCTGACCTTTTCTGCTTGTCTCAGACATATACTAGTTATTGCAAATAAGGGAAACCATGGGACCTATGTTTCTTTGGGCCTGGCTTACTTCACTTATTATAATTTTTTCCAAGTCTTTCCGTTTCCTAACTAAGGAGTCAGTGTCATTCTTTCTGATGGAGGCATAGAATTCCATTGTGTATATATACTATATTTTCTTGATCCATTCATCTACTGAGGGGCATCTGGGTTGGTTCCATATCTTACCTATGGTAAATAATGCTGCAAGAAACATAGTTGTGCTGGTAGCTTTAGTCTGGTCTTGTTTGTATTTTATTTGTTAAATAAAAATTTTAAATTCTTTATGATGCTAGTCTGAATCCATATGAATTCATAACTGAGTAGGATACTCAGCATATTGGGAAGGTACAATCAAGAGTCCTGCAGAAGCTGGATATTAGTTACTCATGTCTATAATCCTAGCTCCTTGGGAGGCTGAGAATCAGAGGACCAGAGTTCAAGACCCTGAGTAGAAAATCCCATAATTTTACATAGTCCAGAAAGAAACTAGACATAGTGGCATGGACATGTCATCCATGCTATGACCAATACCTAAAATATATGTAGATGATAGTCCAGACTCATATCTGAAAATAACACAATAGCTTATCTCAAGAGTAAGCGAAAAAAGGGACTGTAATATAGTGACTGCCTATCAAGTGTAAACTTCAGTACCATCAAAACCAAACAAAACCAAGAACAATCCAGTAGAAGACTAGATGTTTAAACAGATAACCTAGTATCATTTATCATATATGATAGAGGGTTTATAGGCATGGGAACTAATTTTAATGAGAACACAGAGGAGGATATTTTGAAAACATGAATGTTATTCTAGGGATATGGGTGGACCCATTGCAACAATGAGATGTACAAGATGCTATGTAGAAAAAACAAACTTTACAGCTTTGTGGGGGGGGTAGTATAGTCCTGGAGATGGGAGGGCAGGGATGGTGGGGGGGAAAACAAAGGAGGAGGCAACAGTGCTTGATAAGAAATGTACTCATTACCTTGCTCATGTTATTGTAACCCCTCTGTACGGTATTTTCACAATAAAAAAAAACTTATTTAAAAAAAGATAAAGCCGGGTGCTGGTGGCTCATGCCTGTAATCCTAGCTACTCAGGAGGCTGAGATCTGAGGATCGCAGTTCAAAGCCAGCCCAGGCAGGAGAGACCTTGAGACTCCTATCTCCAATAAACCACCAGAAAACCGGAAGTGGCGCTGTAGCTCAAGTGGTAGAGTGCTGGCCTTGAGCTGAAGAGCTGAGGGACAGCACCCAGGGCCAGAGTTCAAGCCCCCCGACCAAAAAAAAAAAAAAAAAAAAAGATAAGAAGAAATTAAGCCGGGCGCCAGTGGCTCATGCCTGTAATTTTAGCTATTCAGGAGGCTGAGATCTGAGGATCGTGGTTTAAAGCCTGCATGAGCAGGAAAGTCCATGAGACTCTTTTCTGCAATAAACCACTCAGAAAACTGGAAGTGGTACTGTGGCTCAAGTGGTAGAGTGCTGGCCTTGAGCTGAAGAGCTGAGGGACAGCACCCAGGGCCAGAGTTCAAGCCCCACAACCACAAAAAAAAGAAAAAAGAAAGAGAGAAAGAAAGCAGGAAGAAATTGGGGTCACCTGTGTTTTGCAAAGGACTTTTCTTTACACCAAATTGGCCATCATCAGATACATAAGCCTTTTGTTACCATTATAATCAAGTAGTTAATGTGGTAAAATTCTTGAGGATATGGGTTATTTTAAAGAGAACTTCAAACTTTTATAAATTTCTAAGTGGTTTTGATTATAATTTAGTTTCAGGAATGGAAGTTGGCTAGTTAAAAAGGTCTTTTTGGCATTTGTTACCAATTAATATAAAACATGTTACATTTTAAAAGTTGGGCTTGGCAGTCAAATATTTCATCATTCTACTTGTTGGTATGCTCCTGCAGCCATACATTTACTCATGTTTACTAAATTTTCTTGAAATGTAATGAGTCACAGGTGATCTCTGTTCATATTCTTTACACAGAGAATCTACAGAATGAATCAGTATTTAGTACAATGTGCTTTAAGGTTTAACTGAAGATACACTTACGTAGTAGCAAAATTAAATTATGCTACTAATTACATTCTAGGTTTTTATTTGAGAATGTATCTTTGTTTTTATTTGAGAATGTATCTTTCTAGAACTGGGCTTACACATTAACATTGAAAATACCATTTTTTTAAAGTAGCAAGTAGAAGATAAACAATGGTTTAAGATATTTCAAATAGGAACCTGTGATACAAGACATTCCTTAAAAGTGGTGCTTACTGAAATTTTCTCCTCTGAAAACACAATAGTTTACACTTGTGAAGAGAGTTTTGTACAGTTACAAAAATACAGGTATCTTATTAGTCTTAAACTTTTATTAAATAATGCATACACTAACAATATGGATGGCCTATAATTAAATTCCAGGTCCAGTTTCAATTTAGTCTTTATTTATGTTTCAATGTATGTGATGTGTGTGCTTAAAAGCTTTTCAAGTAGCTTAGAAATTTAGGAGGAAAAATTTTAATCTCATTATTCCTTACTTCTCTAACCCAGTAGTTTTCTAAATTTTTTAAATATTTACTAATATTCCATGCAAACAAAGAAACATAATCACCTCCTATGTACCTCCCTATATATGTATTATGTCAACTATTACATCAACACATTATCCAAGTTGTGGTGCAGGTTCTGATCCATATTTATGTCTATATACATAGACATATAAATCTTAAAATTTAATCATGTTCTGAATTTATAATGTAAATACTAGGAATCACAAAGTAGCTAAGATTAGAGGTGTGAGCTACAGCACCAGATTTTTATATAAGTGATATTTCTTATTTGAAAAGAGTAAACATTTTTAAATTTTGGGCGATTTAAAAAGTAAGTACAAGGAAAATGACAAAGGTATAATTTCTCCTATCACTAACTAGTGGAAATATAAGTTCTCTTACAACTATTAATCTAGATTGCTCCTAAAACATGTAGAATTCAAGAAATAGGGAGTTTCACACCCTGATCCTGTAAAGGCAAATAAACTAAAGGGGAAAAGTTCTGACTATAAAATTTAACCCAAAAATCTTGAATTTAAAATTTTATCAATGATCCCTGACCAAAGAGATTAATGATAGAGATAGATAACTCTTTTGGAACAGGTATGGAGCATGTGTTTGGGGTTTTTCTGCTGTATTCTAATTACCAAAAGCAAAGTGTCCAGGGAAGATAGATGAGATACTGAGAAGAATGGAATAGAAGGAAATAGTTCCTGGGAGCAGAATGGATTTTTCCAGTTGTGCGATGTATGTTTAGTATGTGTATTGTAAAGGTTTATTGCAAAATCTAGTATACACTCTTTTAAACTATCATTTTTTCTCATGCTTAAAATAGCAATAGAAAATTAATTTGAGGATGTGAATGTAATTTTTGTATTCCCAAATCCAAAATTTTCTCTATTATACTATTCATTTGCACCAGTTAGGGTTATCTTTCTTTATCAGACATGGGGATTTTTAATCTACCTTGACTTATTCATCAATTACTAGCTCTAAAGAGAAGTTACTTCCATCACAGTTTTTCTAGCAAGAATATGTACCAGTTGAATTCTATATTTGTGACATCAAAATCATACAAAATATT